TGCTAACGAGCCTTAACTGACGAAAATGACCATAATTTGCACGATGGAAGAATTATCGTCTTGTCGTAGGCTATACAACCATTCAAAAACTGGGGAGAACAAAAAAGGGGAGATTTCGGGTTCGGGTCGGGTTCGGGCTCTAAATTTAACTGTGCCGCTCGGGTCGGGTCAGACGATCTCGGGTTTGGGCTTCAGTTTAAAGCCCGTGCAGACCTCTAATTAGAATGTCTTCGAGGTTCAAGGTCTGAAATGTCGCTGCTAATCTTTACCTCTTGTTTCTTTTGCTGGTTGTATTTGATGAGCAGTAGTTTCATCTTTTTTACATCCCTCAGGTTCAAACCCAGGTGCGTCATACCAAGACAGGTTTTGACAAACTGAAGAATGATGTGTGTCAGAAGGTTGATCTGCTCGGAGCCAGTCGCTGTAATCTGCTCTCACACGTCCTGACAGCCTATCAGGTGCTGCATTTGAATTGCTTCTTGATGCTTATTTCTTTGTATTATTATATTATTATTTTTATTATTTTTACCTGATCAGCAAGCATTGTAAATGTGATGAATTTAGCTTTATATTTATAAAAGAATATATTTATACAGTAATGAAACTATAATACTTTTAAATGTAATACAGCAGAAATATTTTAGTTTTTTTATTTGATGTAAAACTGTAATCATTAGACATTAAACCATGAATGAGTTATTTTTTATTTAATTTAATTATTTTTACTATTTATAAATTATTATTTGTATTATTATTATTATTTTATCTAAATGAATTGTTAATAAAGGCAATTATATCTCACAATTTAGCAGAATAAAGTCTTCCAGAATGACATGTCATGAGGATAAATATCTGTGTTTTCTTCTATTTCAGACCACATTGCTACATTTCTGGGAGAAAACCTCTCACACTATGGCTGCTATTCATGAGAGCTTCAAAGGCTGCCAGACTCATGAGGCTTCAGCGCTGGGGGTGAGAGCTTTCAGAAGAAATGAATCTCAGATTTATTCATATGGATGTGT